TCAAAAGACTTCAGAGAACCAGTTTAAAGCTAGGCTTGTTCTGCTTGCAGATCAAAGATGCAAACTTTATTATGCAATACATACAAAAAATATATGGAATCAATTCCCTCACATCATACAGAAGGAAAGATAGTGTTTTCTACTGAACGTGAGCATTGATTTTGGATTTGACAGCACTAGCAGGTTCCTGTAATGTGTAATAAAGTGTGCAGGAAAGAGTTTCAACTTCAGATTGCATCAATAAATAAAATTGGGATATTTCTCCATGAAAGACTAATAAATATGTTGAATTGATTGCATAAAGATGGAGGAAAGCAATAAAATGAGCTATCTGATCATCTTAGTTTTGTTCCTTTTTTCAGCATTTCAGTATCTTAATGTAACTTCCAAAGACTTCAGAGAACCAGTTTAAAGCTAGGCTTGTTCTGCTTGCAGATCAAAGGTGCAAACTTTATTATGCAATACATACAAAAAATTATGGAATCAATTCCCTCACATGATACAGAAGGAAACATGGTGTTTTCTACTGAACGTGAGCATGGATTTTGGATTTGACAGCACTAGCTGGTTCCTGTAATGTGTAATAAAGTGTGCAGGAAAGAGTTTCAACTTCAGATTGCATCAATAAATAAAATTGGGATATTTCTCCATGAAAGACTAATAAATATGTTGAATTGATTGCATAAAGATGGAGGAAAGCAATAAAATGAGCTATCTGATCATCTTAGTTTTGTTCCTTTTTTCAGCATTTCAGTATCTTAATGTAACTTTTTTAACCATTTAATTCAGAAACAATCTTCTATTTATGCTTTTACGAATGTCATGCTTGGCCTATTCTCTTGCAAAAACCTTTTTACTCCGAATGTCATGCTTGGCCTATTCTCTTGCAAAAACCAAGGCTTTATATTAGATAATATTCTGCTTTCAGAAATAACAGCACATAAAACATACCTTTAGATCTGAAGAGTAGCAACCATTCCCTTCAAGCGCCTAGCTTTTTTCTCTTGCTCCATTTCAATCCGCATTGAAGCAACTTCTTTTTCAATAGCACTTTTTTCCCTGCGTAATTTCCTTGTTTCTATCTCCATTGCCTTAATCAACGTATCAACTTTCTTCGACAGCGACTAGGTAACCATTTAGAATGTTTCCAAGTAAGAAACCAAGGATTTATGAGTCATGATTCTACATAAATGTTTACATGAAAATGGTTTATACCTCAATAGAATTATCCTTGTCTTTCAAGCTTTGGTCCTTCTCATGACAAGCATTTCTTAAGCAAACCACCTCCTTCTGTAGAATATCATAAAGAACACCTGAAACGAAGTCCCCTTCCAAGGAAACAGTAGGAATCGACGATCTTCCATTAGAAAGTTCCTTATTTGCATCAGGAGATTTCTCATTAAGTAATAAAACATCTCTCTCCTCTCTCAAAGAGTTGATGCTGCATTCACCACCAAAAATTTTAGTGGTGCAGTTATCATATTCTGCTGATCTACCTCCATCAAATGACTTGGATGTTCCCTTTGCATGTTTTAGGATTGATTTTACAACAGGAGATGATTTTCGCATTGAATTCCCACACGACAAAGGAGTAACAGAGGTATCAGCTCCACTCACCGAGAGGCTTCTCGTCACTCCATTTGTAACATGTCGTGATTCAATACCAATGCCAGTTCTAAGAGAGCATTTTAGTCCGTCCTCAACGACTTTCAAACGGAATTGGAATCTCTCCTAGAAGTACACAAGCATATAAGGGCACAGTATATCACATCACACTAATGAAAAAATTATATTAAAGAATAAAAACTTGAGAATAAGAGGTCAGAAAGAAATAAGTCATCAAACTTTCAGCTGAGCTTCTGCTTTAGTAGCACGTTCTGCTATGGTTAGCTTCTCTCGAAGTTGTTGCATTTCTCCCTGGAATACAGTTATTCAGCAGATTCTAATAAAATTTTCCATAAAACCAGATATGTTTAGCTCAGCAGAGAATAGAATACCATTAAGATGTGCCGTTCTTTAGCCCATTGTTTTGCAGGAATAACTTTGTCGTTAGCATCTTTCCATTCATTAGCAATTGCTGCAGCAACTCTATTCTCTGTAACCATCACACGAGATAATGTCCTTTCAAGGGTTTTCTTTTCCCCCTACAAGAAAAACAAGACAAACTGAAGATGATAACAATGCTCATTCAGTAAGTATAGAGATCCATAAATGGCCAACTTTAAATTTACTAAGATGTTAAAAAACTGGCTCTCTTAGGATGATACTTTTAGTTCGTTAACTTGTCGTTTATAGTCACGAACAGCATTTGCTGCTGCAGCGCCAGAGAGAAGAGCTTCCTCCAGTTCATGAATAGTTTGGCCGAGCTTCTCAACCTCGGCAACCTTCTGACGGTGCATTCTATCAAGTATTTTATATTCTTCCTGAAATAATTAAGTTTACATAAACAACTCCATCAATTCTTATGCAGTTATATTTATAAGGGAAACAAATATCGTTACTTTTAATTTTCATTCATCCAACTTGGCCACTTCAATATTCTAACTTCAAAATGATGACAAAAATCATAACTTTTACCTGGCATATATCGTTCTGTTTTATAAGTTCTTGATTTTTGTTCAGTAAATCATCAACAAAAGCAGCCTTTACATTTGCGAGCTTCACCTCTCTTTCAGCTTCCAACAGAGCCACTTCCTTGGACTTCGTTAATCTCTCTAAAGCCTTATTATCATCCTGTACCTTTGTCAGCTGAAAGAACAGGATTTGATCATTCAGCCATGGATCAAATAAGAAAACGTTTCCTGCAGCAAACAAATAAGCCAAAGAAGCAACCAAACCTCTTGTCGTAGAAATTTAATCTCAGATTCTAGTGGAAAAAGAATAGCCTCTAAAGGGGGTAATTCCTCATCTTTCTGGGCAGCATGAACTCTGCGCAGAGTCGCCTCCGCAGCAAACTGTGCCGAGAGTGCTTCCTTCTTCTCTTCAATAATTTTCTTGATTTCTAAGTTCTGACAAAATAACAAACACCAGAAGTCCACATAATACCATTACGCAAGCTACATAAAGAAAAATCTTAGCAAGCATCAATGAGGTTATACCTTATCTTCAACAGCTGCTTCTAAAGCCTGCAACTTGCCTGACATTTTTTCAAGTTCTTCAGTAACCTAAAAACTCAGACATTGCAGCATGGGGCGGTGAGCAAGATTTTTACTACTGATGTAAATTCAGTTGGAAAGATAAAGAAGAGTTTACAGCAGGATGCAAGAGCCTTATCTTTTGCTCGTTCTATCAGTCTTAAGCTCTTAATCTCACCATGGGCATCAACTAGCTCTCGGTCTTTGTCTGTGTATTAAGTTATAAAAAATTATAGTGTAGAGACCTAATAAAAATGGCAAAAAATTTCGGAGAAGCGGGCGCTACCTTTGACTTCATTTTCCAGGCGATTGAGCTCCATCTTTACAGGATCTGAGCCATGCAGCAAGCTCATGAACTCCTCCTCATCAAGGCTCAAAATTCTAGGGCATCTCTTCTTAGCAGCCACCCCCGGCTTAACTTCCGTTGAGATAGCCACATTCACTGGAAAATACGAAGCAAGATCATCAGATCCGCATAGTTCTTCCAACCCTTGATCGCCCCTATTCTCCTCCATCATCGCAATCTTTCAGACTAAAAACTCTTCAAAATGATCAAAACCTAATACAAGAGGGAAGAGAATAGAGCAAATCTGAATCCAGTTTCATGCCCTCCTCCACAGCAAACACTACAAACGGCCATCGGCCGGCAGCTTCCAAGCTGAATCACCGGCGGCAAGGATAAACCCTAACCCTAGACAGATTTCGATAAGCAAAAGAGTGAACTTGTTAATTTCTGTGAAATAATTGCGAGAAAAGCCGACCCCTTTCCCCCTCGCGCGTCCGCTCTCCCTAACTGTCGCTCTCCCTAACTGTATTTAACTACCAGCTTCGCCGACGATCAGCTTTCCTTGTCCGAAATTTAAATACGTACCAAACAACTTTTTTGTATTTACAATTCTAACACCTAAAATTTGATATTTGCATTAGAATATCTCTTTCTGTTTCAAAATGTTAATAATAATGATATTTTGATGTGACGCCAGAAATTTGAGTGTTATGTACATAAATAATAAATTTTAAGTGTTAGGTATGTAAATATATAAGAATTATGTGGCATGTATGTAAATGCCTCAATTGCTAAAATGATTTTCATTAAAAAAATAGGGGCTTTCTACATGCATTAAAAATTTCATGTATTTATATCTTGAATATTTAATACATTATGTTTAATAATATATTAAAATCTCTTCTAAATACAAGCATGAAAAGACTTATTTGATAGTTTATTGAAAACTTCAAAGTTAAGCTTGTTCTTATGCGAACACTTTTAGGATGAGTTATCTTTTAGTAAATTAGACCAATAGGGAGGCAATTTGTCCAAAGTTAACAATATAATGACAGGTGATTATTCGAGATATCAGAGCATTACACCAGCTTAAATATGAGAACTAAGTGACATATAAAACAAAGTGATACGCCATGAGAGTAACCACTTGAACCTACATTGCGACAAAGTGCTGCATGACAGGTGCCACCTCTTGAATAGGTAGGGGTTGCCTCTAGAACCATATTTGACATGTGGATGGTTTCGGGTTCCTATGTATTTACATCCATATATGCATCAAAAGGTGTATTTCACTCTCGGAAAGTTAACTAATTATAATTTTGATATAATAAGAAAGACTAGAACGTTATAAATGTCAAAAAGTAAAATTTAGGGGGGTAGATATGTATTTTATGGCCTATCAAGAAAAAAAAATTAAATATGAGAATAAATAGTTGCCCATCTAAGAAAATGGCATGCTAGTTTTAAGATGTTTCACCATCAATCAAATTACATGGCCTTAATAAATTACACTTTAAATGAAAATTGAGTCAAAAAAAATATTTCATTTTTAAGCTTGAACCACAAATTTGTAGGAAAATTTGAAGCTATTAAAATGTGCCAAATTCATCATTTTAATTTCCATTATTTGTTGATGTGGTAGTGACTGAACTTGTAATCATATGTAAAACGTCAACATCAAATTTGCTGTCAATGGACATGTTTGAAATAATATTATTAAGAGGGTTTGATCTGTAATGCGGCATTGAAATGGTAATATGCCTGCTTCCAAGCTGGTCCTAGTCTTCCTAAACTTGATTATATATATATATATACATATAAAGCTTGGATTATTGGTGGTTGCTTTTTGGCGCTTGATTATATATATATATATATATATATATAAAGCTTGGATTATTGGTGGTTGCTTTTTGGGTAAAAACAATAATGAAGAAATAATTAAATCTTATTTGCCCGATTGATGGAAGATGTGCGAGCGAGTGTAATTTAATATTTGTTTTTTTTTCCTGAAAATTGAGTACGGAAGCTTAAAATGTTATTGTTTATTATATGGTCAATATATATATATATATATATTACACTTATTATAATAACTATTTTTTATTCTAAATAATAATAATAATATACAATATTTGAGTTAGAATGTGATGAAGTATACCTAATGAAGATACATATTCATGAGTTTTAAATTTATTTTGACATGCTTATAATACACAAGAAATAAATGATTTGATTTTAGAGTAAGATAAGACTTGATTGATTAATGCTATATCATATTCATTTGAAAGCAAATAATAATAGAAGTTTTATAATATTTTGTTGTGATGTAGTGATGTGAACAAATTTATATGAGAATGGAAGCTCTGTGGTATAGGGTTCTGCATATCATGGAATAAAAAATATACGACCGCAAGAGAAGGGGGTTGCCCAGTTTGCAATTTCA